AAGTACGAACGTAGTAACGTACGTACGTAGTAGAGTACGTAGAGACGTAGAGTAGTATAGAGATAGTAGAGTAGAGAGAGAGAGAGAGAGAGAGAGAGAGAGAGAAAGAGAGAGAGAGAGAGAGAGAGAGATCAGTGAAGCAAGAGTAGGCATCCACTTACTCGTTGAACAGCTAAATTTTCGTCAGCAATTGGAACCTTGATTTCTTGTGTCTTATCCAAAGCCACCACTGCCATAAGGTGATTAGAATAGTGAGTATGTATTTCCATTTTCGACTCTATAGAAGGGAGAGGGGTAGAGGAACTAATTACAAAATAGGAATAAAAGAGACAGAATTAGAGAGATTATGTTATCAGACTTCTAGAGAGAGAGAGAACCAGCTCTGCGGATAGTAGAGAAGAATGAGATTTGCACCACCAGAGAGAGAGAGAGAGAGCTCCACTGACATTAGAGGAGAACGAGATTTTGCACCACCAGGAAAAGAGAGAGAGAGCTCCACTGCCTTAGAGGAGAACGAGATTTTGCACCACCAGGAAAAGAGAGAGAGAGAGAGGGAGAGAGAAAGAGCTCCACTGGCATTAGAGGAGAATGGGATTTGCATCACAAGGAAGGAAGAGAGAGAGAGAGAGAGGTCCTCCCACCTTGCAGGGCAACGACACTAGAGCTTGCAAGCTCTACTGTAGCAAACAGTAGCCCTAGAAGTAATATGCAGATAAAGCGACTAAACGCCATGTATTTCATCGACTATAGATTGATGGAACAACTAAACGCCTGCTTGCAAAAGAGAGCCCAAAACAGGGTGTGAGAAGGGTTTATAAAGGCAACAAAACACAAATAGTTGCTCAAATAAAATAATCCAGCATCCAAATAACTAATAAACAAATCCATGAGAGAAGATCAACATTCAAAGAGTAAATAAATAAACAGAGGGAAGAGAGAGAGATGGGGAAGAAAACGATGAGCGAGAAAGTATGAATGCGTGGAATGGAAGATACGGGTGTTTAGCGCCTGTCTGCTGCCATGCATGCAACGATATGCGTAAATTTGGTGGCCGAGGCGTCCACCTACCAAACCTAGGCTTTCCGTATTTTATATTCATTCTCTTGGTCCTTTCCCCATATAAACATATCGCATAGGGGTGGCAATGGGCCCGACCAGACTCGCGACCTGACGGGTAGACCCGATCTCGGGTTTGGTTATGAGTTTAAATTTTGGACCCGAAAGATTGGATCCAAATTCAAAACCAAGACCCAAATACCGTTTGCGTCCGGACCCAACCCGTTGCCTTCCCTAATACCGTGTTGCTTTTCACTTGTGGTGTTGGACCACATTAGGGAAGGCAACGGGTTGGGTCATATTGTCATGTTACACCACATTGTAGTGTTGGACCACATTATAGGTGGTCCAAGGATGGAGACCTCAGACTGTTTGTAATGTGGTGTAACATGACAATATGGCCAGTATGAGATGGGAAAATCGAGCTGTCTGTAATGTGTTGTAACACCACAATCTAGGTGGTTCGAGGATGGGAACTTTGGACCGATCGCAAATGTCTCAAAACATAGGATATGGCTCAGACATTAAAAAAAACTAAAAAAAAACAAAACTGACATATCTCGTAATTTTTTACCAAAATTGACCAATTCTATATTCTATTTATTTGTTTTAGGTTTGTATGTTAATTACTCTATTGATAAAGAGGTTGCATTACAATAAAGAGTTTAACCAAAAGCACAGCAAAAGAAGCCCCTCTTAGGTAAGGAATCAGCTAACTCATTAGCCTCCCCGTAAGTGTCCTAAGACTATCCTTTCTTCACTACCGATCTTGGCTCGGGCATTTGATATAAAGAAATTCACTTGCATTTTGGGGCTCTCAGTTTTGATTATAAGCATAATTACATTTTGATCTTTATAGTAATAGACTCCATTCCCTATATAAACATGGCATTTCCATCTTTGCTCAGGTTTTTTTGGTAGTTGGACCCTCAAAATGAGATGTGAGTTGAGGTGAGTCCAATGGGGAACACCTGAAGGCACCCAGCTAGCCATGGCACGATTTCATATGCTAGTGGAGAATACCCTGTCGGCCTTGTTGGCCTTGAACCCCTGTGCATGGCTCGGGAGTGATTTGAGATGACCAAAGCACTCCCAACATTTTTTATGACCCTTTCACTAAGGTCGATAAATGGGGAAAAGGTAACTTGCCTTTTTTTTTTTTCACCATTTGATTGTATACATGAATGTGAGGGCGTTGGTTTTAGAAGAAAGGAGAATGGACCTTAAAACTGTGCATGAACGAGGGTGCTCATACCTAATATCCACCATTTATGTTTATCTACAGATTAATGGTGATGAGCTATGAAACACTTTTATGACGGATTAATTTATTTGGAGCAAACAATTACTCAACTCTACTACTGATGAAAGCTTGGACTATAAATATTAACATAAGAGCATCTCAATGCTCCACTCCAATGCCGTCTGTATAGGTGTATGTGTTTCCATGCATTCATAATAGGGCACACTCACTCTATAACCCAAATTTGATAAGTGCCAAATATTTTAACATAGCCTGGTGGACACTTGAAGCATATTTGACTAAAGCTCTGATAAGCTTTCATCATAAGGGGTTACCAATGATTGGGCAAGGTCATACGAGCTTATGAAATTAATAAACCATATGTCTTATTTGAAAGGGGAAAGATTAATGTCTTGACATTTATTTTATTGGAGAAGTTCAAAACCTTTACGTGTGGAAATAAATAATGAACCCTTTCATCGATTGACTCTTAATCTATGGAAGAAATTCAATACCTATACGTGTGGTAATAAATAATGAAACCATTTGAGCAATTGATTCTTATTCTATGAATTCATGCAAATTCAACTTGTTATTTTATTGGTTATATCCAATACCTATACAAGGAAGACACACCTCTAAATTTCTCTGCCAACTTTATACATACAAGGAAGACACACCTCTGAATTTCTGTAAAAGATATAGTTCTAGTGCCAAAAACCTTATAACGGCTTAAAAATCTATTTCCAAACCCTATGAAATTTAAAATTTCAAAAACAGTGCATAAGAATCAGATCTATAAACACCTGAAAATCTTAAAAATACACAGTCTCGATAACTTGTTAAAAGATGCACCATCAGGACAGTAAAAAAAAAAAATATTTATATACATACATCTTGAGGTAGAGATGATCAATTGGAAGGTTTTCCAGCTTTGGTGTATACTCTTTTCTCGATTTTTGAGGTGCATCTTACTTCTACAGTAAAAAATTACAACCTTATAAAAACTTTTTCCAATGCTATATCTACCCATGTGAGAATAAAAAAAAAAAACTCTATAGCAAGAAGTAATGCAAATTTAACATGTAAAGGTAGACAGTATATTATCTATGTGATATATGATCCAGTTACTCTAGGTTAACATTCAAAAAGAAGAAATATGTTGTCTAGAAGCACTGAAGCTACTAGCTATGGCGGCTGACGAAGGTAGTTCAGCTAGGGTTTTATGGTTTCCTAGAATTGACGATCAAGCAAATGTGGCTCTCCAAGGCCATGGCATCAAACTTAGAGCTTGAAGAACATGGTCAAAAAGTGCTAAGATTTAGCATCACAAAACAAGCTCATCATTAACAACAAACCCTAAAAATTGTGGGTTTCTGGTGGAAAATGCAACACCTATTAGGGTTAGGGAAATGCAATATAAATTAGGGTTAGGGTTTGCTTTGGAAGGGCTGAGGACCATTAATAAATAAATTAGAGTCATTGAGTTATGAAGAGTTTAGAGCACGAGGACGTGCCATTCGAGCCCCTTTGGTGGGCTTGCCTTGCTTGGAGTGCAAGTTGCTAGTCGGTGCACACCGAAACTTTCCGAAATTTTAATATTTCGGGGATATCAAGAAGCAGTACACCGACCCTCGTGATCGTATTACGGCTTGCAAAATACATGTTCACAAAAATTAGCTTTTCAATTTAAATAGTTTTTTTTCTTTTTCTCCTTTATATAGGGACCTTTATCATAAACATGCAATGGATTGAACTATTTGTCCTTTCAGCCATTTTTATTTGATTTCAAAAAGTACATTAAAAGACGTTTAATCACAATTAGAAGTTGATATTTTGGGTTAGTTTGGTAAATGATGTGAAATGTTAAACAATTGATATTTTAGGTTTGTTTCGAGAAGCTTTCCTTTTCTTCATTGATTTCAGCCCTTGCTTCAGTCTGGGGAGGTTTTCATTTAAGGATATAATGGTTGTTTAGACTAAATAAGCCAATTGTTAGATGTAATTAATGGTTTCACAATGGAAAAGTATAGAGTGATTGACCCAAAAACTTTACCTAAAATGTAAAATACTCCGTTTATAAGTGAAAATTATAAGGAAGATCGGTCAACCCGTGTTTTTTTATTTTTTTCAAATTTGCTTCTCAGTCCAAGGATACCATCCTCGTACCACATTTATTTTTATTTATTTTTTTTTTTTTAAGTTTTATCGTTAGTACGGCAATGCCCTGTGCTCTAGGGGCAGTGCCTAGGTGGTCCAAGGTTCGAATCTTTAGACCGCCCTCTGGTTCTTGAGCGGTTCGAGGTTTCCATCCTCGTATCGCTCTTTTTTCTTATTTTTTGAGAAAAAAAGGGGTCCGAGGTCGTCATCCTCGGATTGTGCTATATGCCTTTTTTTTTAAAAAAAAAAACAACGGTCTGAGGATGGGAACCTCAAACCGCTCTCTGGACTGAGCACAACTCTGTTCCTGGGTGGTCCGAGGTTCCCATCCTCTGACCACTCTTTATTTTTTATTTTTTGAGATAAACAACAGTTCGATGATAGCATCATCGGATAGAGGGACAATTTTGAAAAACATAAAAAATGTAGGTTGACAGACCTTTCTTGTAATTGCTGCTATAAACAAAGCATTTCATATTTTAAATAAAGTTTTCGGGTCCGTACATAAATCACTCAACGTATACCTAGTAACTGAGCTGGTAGGGTAAACCAATCACTGGCCTAACCACCTATTCTTGACTAGTTTCGGTCTGTTTCGTCGGTTCTCTATAGGGATTTTATGTTGAAGAAAAGAAGAAATTGATAGCGATCAGGTGAGTTTGGGATGCCTTTAGATCGGTTTTTAAAACACTGACTATAACATTCAATTCCAGTTTCTATCAAGATTTGACGGTCGATAGCATGCCTATATGTAGTTGAAGCATATACATAAGGGAGGGCTTTGTATGTGACCCCACCCATATATATAATATATGTGACCCGTGGCCTCAACCGTAAGATCTGAGTAGATGGTTAAGTTGACTTGAGTCACAATGTCACAGCTAGAATTTAACCGTCAGATATTGATTAGAAGTCTCATAGTGTTTTTTTTTTTTATTATTATTATTATTTTACAAATAATTTTGAAGCAAAATTTGGAGCATGAATAGATCTAAAAAGGGCGTACATGATAAAAAAATTTTAAAAATATTTGCGGTAATGAAAAGTTACCAGAATACCCCTGAAAATTGAAGGGTATTTTGATCATTTATTTTTACATAAAATATTTTTGTTTTATTTTTTCCAGGTTTGCCCTATTTTTTTGATGGAACACCCAAAATTTTATAAAAAAATATTTTGTAGAAAAAAAGAAAAATAAAACAGTATTTGACATGACATTATGGTCTGAACAATTATAGCTGTTTGATTCAGATCAAACGGCTAAAAAGTGAAGTCACATATAACTTA